GACCGTGCGATGAAAAGGAACTGAAGGAACTGACCTCGGAAGGGTGTAAGAACCGCTGGCGAGCTCAGCTCACTCCTACGTGTCCGCTATCCATGGGTGCGATGAATTATGCTTCGCACGAGTCATAATGCTCGGTTCGAGATGATTGTGCAACACCGGTTGACAACGTCCCATCCTCAAGCCATGATCCTAGAATCCTGAGATTCTCCTACAGTCTTCCATTACAATGCGCGGATAAAATCTTGCATATCCCACCGTCGACGTATCGTAGGGGGACCATGGACCCCGTGCTAGATCCATGCATGGAAGCTGTCCTCAAACACCTTCACTGCCAGCAATCATTGTTCAACTTTCTGTCTGCAAGCCCATAGACGTCATAACGTGGGATGTTGCCAGACATGTTCAACCAATCGGTCATTGTAGCACTCACGTCGGCAGCAAAGGTGGGCGGCTAATCCTGGATAAATGGGATCCTCGTGCAGCACTATAGGTTACCAATGCAACACCATCCCTTAACGCTGCAAGGAATTTTGGTTCCATACGGACTTCAAATCATGTTAGCAACCTGGTAAGTACATGGGATATCTCTTTTGTGCGCTTGTTGTTGTAAGTCGTTGCGAGATATCACAGGCTCCAGCAGGACGGGCTTTTGTATGCCGCTCGGAGTATAGCTTTCATTCTGTAGATCGCGCGTCTATAATCCATGACTGGAATATATCGGTTGAAGACACAGGAACCGTATCTGCTCAATTTCTACTTGATACTAGGAGTTCTGTTCTAAATCAGTTCTCATTGCGACGGCGCAGCGGTCGTGCGACCAACAACCGCCCGTTAGAGTTGACAGTCAGCAGGTCCGCAACCATCCGCACTGCCCCCATGCACATCCTGGATAAGACTGGACAGTCGCTTGTGCATAATGCGTGGACACTCTAATTAGTGTTGTGTTTGGGCCTGCCTCGGAATAGCGACGATACCCATGCTCAGACAATTTAGCATGAAAGTCAAACTCGCGTGCGCCAGTGACCTCCTCGGAACTGGAGACGAGATTGGCCAATGCGACCAACGTGGGCACGATACTTTGAAGGGATTACTCGTGTTGGTTGGTTGTCCGTTCCCGGAAATCGAGGGCGAACGCGCTGTTCCTAGGGAACCGACCCAGTGCTTCAGGGGACGCCAGTCTTTGGGGAAACTGACCAAGATGATCAGCTATGGCCGGCGCTCAGATCCAATCAACGGGCGGTGGAATGTCGGAAGCTACTAGTGCAACCGATGAGCTCCGGATTATTTCGCCCACGGCCTTTGCCAAGTCTTCATCGTCGTCCGCTTGACAGGGAAAGGTACTCCACTAGGCAACGATCAACTGCCCGATGGGGGCGTCGCGGAAGATGAAGGTGAAACCGAACAAAAAAAGAAGTCGTCAATTAACCTTAGTAGCTGGGACCAAAATTGGACACCGCCCGATGGAAGCGAGGAAGGATGAACCTAGGTAGTTGGATGCCTAGGCGCATCTGTGTTCCATCTTGGGGGAAAGATGGCTGGGGGAGTAACAGGCCATTCTCGTTCGTCGAAGAGATTGGTACGGTCTTAGCGACTTTGACTTCCCAACAGTTTGTTAACACGATGAGGTATCAGCTTGGTACCATACTTTGCAGCTCATCAAGCAGTCATTCGTCTTTCTTTCCCTCCAGGCAGCTCACTTTCCAGCCGGTGGAATGACCTCAGGGGTCCCACCCGCAGCAATGGATCGAACGGATACGATTGGCAAAATACCCGCTGGATCCAGGGAAATCCCCCACACGAACCTTGAACCTTCTCATTCGTCCTCCCCACAAAATGGCGCAGGCTCGGTTTTCCATGCTGCGGTCCGGTCGTGAAACTAGTGCAGGAGATAGACTGACTGACTGACTGAACTGACTTAGACTAGAAGATGGTCCAGTGCTCCAAGCTCGCAACCAGTCCTTCCTTTTCCTGTCTCTCTCCACTCCCCAACGTCTTCCTCCCCTACCAAATTGGCGCCAGCTGCCGATTAATTACGATCAGTTCCATTGTTTCCCTCCATTACCCTGATTGGGGGGTTTTTGAAGCGGCGCCAGCCGCCACCACATATGTAAGCAGTTAAGCAGGGCTAGGCAGCCCACCGACTCGGGCGTAGCCGTCGAAGGTTTAATGGTTTCCCTCCATCACCCCAACCAGCCGACCCGTCGACGTGGTTTCTTTTCCCTCTTTGTTCCTACCCCATACGGATGACGGATGCTTCTGACTGGGATCTCGCTTCCATCGTGGCTCCTGCTAAAGCCGGAGGCAAATAGTGGCCGATCCGGGCAGTCACGAGGTCTGGGGTTGAATTCCACCCTGAACTCTGGCTCCTGCCGAGAGAAATGACCCAAGAGGCTAAGACGGGCCAAATAACGGCTTGGAGACCGAACCGGTATGGTTTCTCTCACGGTCTTACCATATCTTACCCTTTCACCAGCGTCAATGTTACCTGCGCGCCGTATCAATAATTACCCCAGGTCGCACACCAAAAAAGCAGGACCGGCCACAATCGGCCTGCAGCCCGTGAGCCTGCCTGATCCAGTTAGCTTGCATACTAGTCCGGTAGCCTGAAGCGCCCTTGACTTTTAGTAGTGACACACCAACTCACCGGTAATCTAATCTGCAATACATTTGCCGATGATAAGTGACAGTGGCCGGTTGCAAAAAGAAACGCTGTAAGTAACGCGAGATAATCATAATCTTCTATCTCGAGTAGTCTCTTGGCGAGCAACCTTTTTGTGGAGTCATTAGCTGCTTGCGTCGTCGGGATTTCATGGATGCTTCAGGATCCAGAAGAGCATGCGAGGTTCTAGAAAGGCGAGGCTGTGTTTGTGTTGTTTCCGAATGGCACCGCCTGCTTTACCTCTTTCGTGACAGACCAGACTGAACCTAATTCACCACACAGACTTTATGTTGTATCCCGAATGGGTGCAATATTCTAGCAAGCAGCACAAGCTAATTGACTATGCCCATGATTTGAATAACCCTGATCAACTAATACTGCAGCAAACTGGCCCTAGTCTTCAAGTGTTGCTCTGTGCTCATCCTGTAAACACCGGCGCCCTTTATAGAGATCTCCAGCGACAAATACAACAGCTCCAGCTTGATGGATTCGAAACCCTCCCACCAAGCCACAGTGAGCATTTGAGCTCCTATACCACTTAATTGTTACAGTATTTAACAGAGCGAGCAAGAGTACCGTCGACAAACACGAAGGGTACTGTCTCAAACAACCGACAACACTAATTCTCTGAAGTAGAACACGACTTATGCAGAACTAGGTACCAGACCACTCATCCTACTAGTGTCTTCATAGAATGTTGACCGGGATAAAAATAACGATATAGTCCTCGTTGTTAGTGCTTCGTATTCCATGTCTCGTTGGAAGTTGCCCTCAAGACAATGAGAGGGAATTGATGATCTTGACGAAGCTGGTCATGCACGACTAAGGTAGTCTATCCTCCGGTCTAATACTTCTTCTGCCTCCTTGTTAATGCCTTGTACTCTCGGCCGTGTCCCCTGCCGAAGGGCCATCGATGACATTCTAGACGACGGTGTGTGTCGTAATTAGGATCATTCCACCAGCCATCGGACGGGCTCAGATGGCCAGGTCGCGGTCTACGTAGATAGCTCTCTTCCTCTGTCTCTCTAGCTGGCTAGTTAATTAGGTAGCTTACTAGCAATCATCCCACTAACAAGGGAAGTAACTCGAGATACCACCTACCCAGGAAGTTAGTGATCGGAGAGAGACCTGCGTGACGGGCGAATACCCAGCTGATACATAATTACAATACGTGCGGCCGGGATGTGACCGTATTGTGGGCTGGGACAGCATCCACTCCCCCGTGACTGGGTTGTGGGGCCCGCTTTCTGGCTCTGGCCCTGTCATGGCCCATGCTTTCCCTCCCAAAGCACGCCGGACCAGAGCCACCCGGCCCACTCCGTTTCCCGTCACGACCCATTATTGGCTGGACGGCCGTGACTAAAGCTGGATGCTGTTTCGTGGGTTTGTCCCGCAACATTCGCCGGGGTAAGTTTAGTTAGTTAGACGGGCCTCTCACTGCTCAAGCTGGCAAAACGTAGGTTACAAAATAGAAAAAAAAAATTGAAAAAGGAAGGGGGAAAAGAAAAAGGTCACTTTCGGCCTGGGTAGCTAAGGTGGTAGGTTGTAGTCCGGCCATCAGTTAGTTGGGAGGCTAGGCTGGTCTGTTCGTAACCGGAGGGAGCGATCCCAATACTTCAGGGAAATAATATGGAGTAATAAATCGAAACGAAATGACATATCTGGCAATTGGAGATGACTACCTAGCTAACTAGTTGGTTTAGCAGGTAAATGGACCGCGCCTGCTTACGACATACCATCGACCTGCCACTAGATAACCCGACCAACTGCTCGGAGCATGTACCAGTTGAGTGAGTTGAGTTAAAAGAAAGAAAGAACAGAAAGAAAAGAAAAAGAAAAAGAACCACTGCGAACGATCCTGCAAGTTGTTCAGTTCTGGTGCTCCCCGTGCAACAGCCAGACTACTTACTAGGGCGTTTCCTTGCTGCGGCAGAAGCCACTAACTGCTGCGGTTCCTGCTCGAACTGACACCCCTCGGAGAGTACAGCCTTACACCACCCAATCCACGCTCATCCCCCATCCCCCATTCATCAGTCATCCTTCCTGCTCACCTTCCATCCCTCTTAATTACATCTATCTAACCACCGCTACAACTACTACTACTATTCTTTTTTTTTTTTTTTCACTTTCATATTACCCCCCCTCTCCCCATATCCCCAACCCCAAAGTGTGCCTTTCTTCTCTTCCTTCTGAGCTATTTTTCGGGCCACATACCGCCCTCTTGTCTGCTTATCAGCAATTGATTAAAGCACAGCTACTACTAGTAGCTCAGCACACCCGCCCATAACTCCAGTCGGCTATCTCCGGCTTATCCACCGACTCACACCACCCATCGCGGCGCATGCCCGCGCAACTGACCTCCATCCTATCCTCTACCACAATCCTCGTCTAAGGAATCCAGGTTCAATGGTCTCTGGCATTCGTGGGTGATTTAGTCCATCCGCACGAGTCTTTCCGTGCGCAGAGCTTGGTGAGTAGCCACCCGTGGGTTTCCCCTGGAGCCTGGAAACTCAACCCCTGCTGATTACAGTTGCTAATCCCGAGATCGATTGCCTCTCCCCCCAGGAACGGAGCCACTTCGCCACCCACACCCACTTGGTCTAATTCCTTTGTAACGGTGATCCTGTTAATCGTCTACACTTTATCAAGTTATCGCCGCCCACAATTTCTATTTCTTCAACCTACCTTGAAACTACTTACCCCCCGAATAACGGCCTTCTTGTTTGCTCTTCTCCCCGACTTCTGTCCTGACTTGGTGAGCTTCCTGTGGCATTGCTGCATTCTATTCGCTGCATCTTTTGTCCGGACAACGAACCAAGCTAACTCTGATCTCATTGAATCAGAATGCTGTCAATGTCGCATATCTTTCGCAATCTTCTCCAGTAGCTTCCTTTCGTCACGTCTACTGTCCTTCCTCTCTTGGCAGTGCTTTGTCGTCTTCATCTACCTTATAAACAAACCCCCACCTCGCGCTATTCCAGACCCCGCCCCCGCAACCAGTGCTTTCGTAACTGGTTCCCACAAAACAGAAGAAACATTTTTAGGATGTTACTAGATACAATGGTCGGCCAGGACCCGGCCACGAGCCCCAAGGTGGAGGACCTTGCTAGTATCAGCGAGGTCCCGGTCGATGTGCCTGGTGAGCTTATGTTCTTCGAGGAGTATGCTTATCTATCCGTGAATCCTAACAAGACCAGCTGCCCCCAAAGAGGACTCGAAGAAGGAGTCCAACGGCCAATCTGACGCCAAAAATAATGTGCCTCCCCCCAAGACTGACAAGCCCCGCCCTCATGGATGTACGACCTGTGGCCGGTCTTTCGCTCGCTTGGAGCACCTCAAGCGTCATGAGCGCTCGCATACCAAAGAAAAGCCCTTTGAATGCCCCGAATGCGCGCGTTGTTTCGCTCGTCGAGATCTCCTTCTCAGACATCAGCAGAAACTACACATGACTACAACGCCATCATCACGTCCCAGAAATGGTCGACGAGAGAGCACGGGAGGCGCATCCACTGGAGCGAACCGGGTTCGCAAGAACTCAATCGCTAGTAACTCCAGTAACATGCGTCCCAGAGCAAATACCATCAGCCATATCGATGGGGCTTCCTTGGGAATGGTGAACACCTCGAACCCTCCACCAGCGCCAGCTGGCCACTCGGGTCATACTTATCATGCAAGTATTGGCTCCGCGTCAGTGGGTTCGAACCTGGATTTTCGAGGTTACTCTTCAGGTCACCATCCTTCCATGAATGGCTTGACCAAGCTAGAAACATCGGGTTTGCCCATGGATCTTTCTGGTGGTCTTCGCACTGCTCCTGTTTACGGTAGCTTTGACATCAATGTCCCAGATATGTTCATGGGCCATGGCAGTACCATCAACCCAGCGCAGCTGCACTTTGGAGGCTCACCCCAGACCTACGGAAACGACTCGCCATCATCCCCATATGCCCATGGTGCGCATCATATGCCTCCGGCGGATGGGATGATGGAAGATGATTTCAGCTTCGATTGGATGAACACCTTTGACCCTGCTATGCCTATGGGTAAAAGCGCCGATTCTGCCATCGATGAGTCGTCCCCTTCCGCAATGAGCACGGGCAGTCAGAGTGGCATCAGTGAAGCCATGATGGATGGCTCACATCGCTATTCCATCTCTTCAAGCAGCTGGCACAACCCGTTTCCCCCACTTTCGGCGGCAGCCGCCGGCCAGTTTCCCCTCGAGTACACCTCATCTAGCTTCAACGATATAGGCATTCCACCGGAAACGGTTTCGCCCAAGTCATTGATGGCCCAGAATCCTTTTGCGGAAACCTATGCAACTCCTCCATCCATGACTTCCGTTGGCCAGCCCTTAATGGGTGGACATTCGCAGAGTATGTTTTCATCCTCTATGGCAACAAACGGAGAATCTCCTAATCCTTTCAACCTCCCTTTCGCGAATAGTGCCCTACGAACTCACCATTCCCCAAGCTCCACGGATACCTTTACAGACTCCACCCGACAGGCTCTATTAGCAAGCATGGCGCGCCCTACCAGTCTCAATCACCGCAAGTATTCCCAGCCCGCCAGCGGCATGATTCCCTGCCGCGATCTTTTCTCCCGTTCCTCCACTTTCACCGGCTCCGGTCAATTACCTAGCACCTCGGACATGCAACGCTACATCTCAGCATACATCACGTATTTCCATCCACATATGCCGTTCCTTCATATCCCGACCCTTGACTTTCAGGCGCCCGAGTACACCAACAATCTGCGGACTCCCAGCGGCCATCTCAATCTCAGCTCTACCGGCATCACTGGAGGTGGTGGCTCCCTGATCCTCTCCATGGCGGCAATTGGGGCCCTCTACGAATTTGACACTGCGGCCTCCAAGGACTTGTTCGAAGCTGCCAAGAAAATGATTCAACTCTACTTAGAGGAGCGACGTAAAGCGGACATGTCGACCCCGGTCGGGCGCCACAGTAACTCTCGTGACAGCTCGGTGCACAATACGCCCCTTTGGTTGGTTCAAGCGATGCTCCTCAACGTCATCTATGGACACACCTGCGGCGACAAGACATCTGCTGATATTGCGAGTACGCATTGTGCCGCGTTAGTCAGCCTTGCCCGGGCGGCTGAATTGAATCGCCACCTAGATGCAAAAGACCTTTCTCAAGATTACCTCACTGCCGGACTTGCCAGCCGTGTTGGTACTGACGCTGACAGTTGGGGCCAAGCAGGGCAACCAAAAGAGAGAAGGGACTGGTTGGAGTGGAAGATCGTAGAAGAGCGGAAACGAACCCTCTACGCAATATTTGCGCTTTCGTGCTTTCTTGTGTCGGCTTATAATCATGCACCCGCTCTGACCAACTCCGAAATCCGCCTCGATCTGCCCTGCGAAGAGGATCTCTGGGCCGCAGAGTCCCCACAAGCGTGGAAGAAGCTTGGTGGACAGTCAACACCAAAGAAAGGGCTGTCCTTCTCCGCTGCTTTGACTACGCTACTTACCGCCAGTCAACGAGAGCAGCAATCGTCTACAACACAGGCCAAAGGATCTGGCAACGATGCTTCTGAAGAATCTCCCGGTAGCGAGCTCAAACCTAGTACCTTCGGCTGCTTGGTTTTGATATATGCTCTTCACAATTACATCTGGGAGACTCGTCAGCGGCACATAGGCCGGCAGTGGACGTCACGAGAAAATGAGGCCATGCAAGCACACATCGAGCCTGCACTGCGCGCCTGGCAATCCGCTTGGGCCAGCAATCCTGTGCATAGCTTGGAACGTCCCAATCCTTTCGGTGCAGGGCCCCTCTCTGCTGACAGTATCCCGCTGTTAGATCTCGCGTACGTCAGGCTATTCGTCAATCTAGGAAGGTGCAAAGAAGCATTCTGGCAGCGTGATTGGAATGCGATGTCAGATGAGCTTGCGCGTGGAACAGGTGTAGATCAACCCATGGACGATATACCATCTGATGTGCTGGACCCATCGATCACTGAGGGTTCCCACCAGATTGATCATCGGCGCGATTCAGTGGCAGATCTGGGTGTAGGTGATCTTGCTATATCCGGTACTCCCACCCAGGATCATCCTCTACAGACTCTCATGGGCGTATACCGACCTGGCCAAACCAAGCGGGAAAGGCATCTGCGCAAGGCTGCCTTCTATGCAGCTGACTCAATCTCAATGTCCGATCAACTAGGAAATACCTTTGCTGAATTCACGTGCCGAGAGCTGCCCATTCAGTGTGCCATGTGCACTTTCGACTGCGCTCAAGTGCTGGCAGAATGGATCACTACTGTTCAAGAACGCGTCGGCCCCTACCTAGGCGTTCTTGGCCAGGATGACGTCGACCTCATGCAAGCCACCAGCCTTCTCTTACTCGAGGAAGAGGATTGCAAACTGTTGGGCAAGATCAAAGAGATTCTTTCCAGCGTTGAAAATAAGATGCAGAGAGAAGTTCAAAGCGGGGTAACCATGTCAGCCCTGAGCGTCCTACAACGCCTGCCTAGTGTTGTTGAAGGGGGTTATGGCAGCAAAATTCTGCTTGCCACGGCAAGTCTCCTTGACCGGGCCGCTGTGTGGCCAGTGACAAAGCTTATGGCTCGATCACTAGAAGCCCAAGCTATGCGGCTGAAAGAGCGTGCTCAGAACTCGACCTTGGGAGCCAACTAGCTCTATAATGAGGATGGCTTGATGGCATTGTAATGCTGATCATACACTCTCTCCTGGCAAATATTGCTTGGCAACCCTCCCAGACTTGCTGAGCTATCATGGATCGGCACTACTGGCCACCTCAGATCGTCCCTGCTTCTCAGGCTTACGCCACACACGTTTCATTAATTCAAGCTCCTGGCTGTTCCGCACCATTGTGCATCAGAATGATGGAGGGTGATTATTGAAACAAGTAGGATCCTCTCACCAATATCTCGAGTGCGATCAATGGCGGATGACCTAGGAAATAACCCTTCTGGTAATCCTCGCTAGAATGCGCCTTTACCCTTTATGTCCTTTCCTGACCGGTCGATACCAACAAAGCACGTGTTCGAAACAAGCTGACATACTGTTTGACGGCGCCTTTCTCCCCCTACAACCCCTTCACGGATCACGCAAGTGCGATTATGTTTTACTATTGAGTGCCTCTTTCTTCTGATGCCGGTTTTCTGTGCCACTACCAAGAACTGTTCTGTGTATTTTTGTTTTGATTTGTCATATCTGGGAAAGGCGGGACCTTGACAACGACCAGGGAGGTTTAGTTGCTTGTGAACCTAACGACTGGGACATGGATCTTCACGATACCCCAAACCATTTCTGATGACTTGCAAGCATGACGATCCAATATTGAGACGATAAGTGCCATATGTTGGAGTTGGAGTCTTTGATTTATCATTTGTGCATATATTATATATAAAGCGTGTACATATTCAGACCATGTGAAATTGAGATCGAATGAGACTGGCATATTGCTTCTATCGCTGTTCCGGGTTTAATATATATTATACACATCGTAATGAACACTACTCACTAGCAACAAGTATCATGGTTTCATAATCGCAGCCCTTCCGCCGTCTCCAGAAGCAAGTGGCATCCCATAGTATACAGTAGTAATCGAGAAGTGGCGTCTACTATGAAACCCTTAATTGAATCGCATTGATTAAATGCTTTTGCTCGATCAATCAAACATCTCCAAAAATTAAAATGAAAAGGAAAAAAAAAAAAAGATTTTGCGAATGAGAAACATGAACTCAATGAATATATATATAAAGCTTCGAATTGATCATCCGTTCTACTTTTATACCATAATACACCATATGCCGTAATGAGAATAAAAATAACTACTACCGAATCTATACAATAAGTCTCTCGAAAGAGTACTTGCCCGCCGCTTTCCGCCGCAAATAACCAATCTCTCTGCTACTTCTCGTCTTGACCTCACCAGTGGACAGCTTGACCTTAGTCTTGCTGACATCGTTTGATCCG